ATTTTGTTTGGATCTTAAAAATGAACACACAGGTAAACTAAGGACTCGTGGGCTCAGTCCTTACCACTGTTCCTCACCCACAGCCCGAATGCAGCGAGGTGGGCGACCCAAGCCTCTGCCCGCCAGCATGCGAAGCGTGGAAAACGATGGTTTGGACGTTTCATTTAGCAAGCAACGGAAAGGTGATGCTGGGCTGAAGTGAACTCTGAGCCAACGCCTCTGTGGAGCGCTGAAGTCGCCGTAGCTCTGTTCGCTTCCTTCCTGAACACGTAAGTCAGGCAGGAGAACGGATCCCGCTGTAAGAGCTGTGCTTGCATCCAGCCACGGTTTCACAGGCCGGTGGGAATCACGCTGAGCCCTGAATTTGTGGGTGTGCCTCGTTGAAAACTCTGGCGTGGGACCCTTGCCCTCTCACCCTGAGCTTAAAAAAAGATGCAGAACACAAAGCATCTGACAGTGGAAACTGGCAACGCTCTGTTTTTTGGGGGCCAAACCGGGCGACGCGTCATCGCCAAACCATCTCCCCCCGGCGCGTGCCTGCCTGCGGAGCCGCCTCGCTGGTCTTTGCCAGAACCGGAGTTCTTTCTGAAAGGGCACCCAGAGTGCCCTTATCTTCTGAGCATGCAAGTTGCAGGCGGCACGCGTGTTAGATGAGCTGAAGCAGCCCCTCTGGGAGCAGAGGTGAAGGTGCCTCTCCTGGGATTGTCCAGGATGTGTGGCTGGGGGATATGGGGCCGTAAACCGGTTCAAGGCATAAAACTTATGAAATCCAGATCATCCCAATGAATGAGTAAAAGTTCTCCGCATTCCTTGTGCTCAAAGACCGTTCTTAAGATTTTGGTATGTAATTTTCCAGATATTCAAACCTAGAAGATCACCTTTAGTGACAGACTAGTATTGAGTGGGGGTCAGGCTGTGATTTATTTAACAGCCCCTTAGTTAGGCATTTGCATTGTCAATCACTTATGACAGGCAGTTTTGAGCTGATCGTCTTGAAAGCATGAACGTCAGTATCTGCACACGGCCTTGATTGCTTTTTCTTGGTATAAATTTGATGCATATCTCAAGCCTCTGCTGTGTAAGTTCATCTGAAAGGCAGAGCTGGTGTCACGGGGACAGTGAGCGGGAGTCACCATTGCTCAGGAACAGTTGCCCAGATACGGGCCCTCGTGTTTCCGTAAGAGCCTCCTCAGGAGACATGGCGGGAGGGTTCTTCCCTTGGCTTCCCTAAGCCTCGCAGACTGGCCTTCGCACCCACCAAGGAGCCGTGGGGATGAGCAGGGCATGTCCCGACGTCTGTGGCTGCTGAAGGCGGCTGGAGAAATGGGTTTCCAGCTGCAACAGGGTTTCAGGAGCTACCTCCCTGCCCTGGCGGGGGAGCACCATCACCCTGCCTCACATGGATTTACTGAACCCAGGTCCACCTCTCCTTCCACAGTGAGGCCTCGAGCCACAGACACGACAGCTTTGAGCCGAGGCTCTGCAGGTGTGGCCTTCGCCACAGAGTGCACCTGCTGGGCTGGTCACTCCCACCCGCTTCTTGAATTCCCAGGCGTTCTCTCTCCTGCACAATTGTGATAATCCTTCATAAAATACCTCCCTCCCTACATCCACTCCTTTCTCTTTCTTTCATCACCACACACATTTTCCTATTGCACAAAGTTCCTCCCGCTACAGCTCATTCTCTGTTCCTAGGTCACCCAGAGCCCCCGGGTCTCTCAGAGCCCCCAGATCTTCCTAAGAAAGGCCAGAGCCAGAACACTGGAGACATGGGGGTGACCGGGGGAGCCGCAGTAAACGCTAAAAATGATTGAAGGTGCACAAAACTGAGGGAAATTGAAGGAGAGAGGGGATCCAACCTTAATATCATGGAAAGACAAGTTGAATGGTTCCCATTCATGGTAGTCAAAAATTTCAGCCACTGGTCGAAGTTTAAAAGCTCATTGGCACAAAACCACAATGAGATATCACATCACACACCTACCAGGAGGGTGTTGGGAGGATGTGGAGAAATCGGAACCCTTGTGCATTGCTGGTGGGGGTGTAAATGGTGCAGACACTGTGGGAAAAGTTATGCCAAATATAAAACTGCCATATGGTCCAGCAACTCATCCCCATGTACACATATACCCAACAGGATTGAAAGCAGGGACTGGAGCAGGTGTTTGTAGACTTGTGTCCACAGCTACATCTCTCATAGCAACAGAAGGTAGAAACAACCCAAGTGCCCATCAACAGTGAAGGGAAAGCACAGTGTGGATATACATGCAATGAATGTTATTTAGCCATAAAAAGGAATGAAGTTCTGATCCACGTTGCAACATGAATAAGCCTTTTAAAACACGGTAAGTAAATGAAGCGGACACAAGAGGGTAAACACTGTATGACTATTCACATGAAGTAGCTAAAATAGATAATTTCATAAAAACAGAAAGTAGAGGAGAGGTTACTGGGTGGGAGGAGGAGGGATTGGAGTGTTATTGCTTCATGAGTGCAGAGCTCTGATCGGGCTGATGAAAATGTTTTGGAAATAGTGGTTATGGTTGCACAACATTGTAAATGTAATGAAGGCCACTGAATGTTACACATAAAAATGGCTCAAAACAGCAAGTTTTGTTACTTATATTTTATTACCATTTTTCAAAATCAATAATGCAATATATCAAAAGGCATTAAATTGTACCCTTTCAGAGGGTGAATTGTATGGTTTGGGAATCATACCTCAATAAAGCTGTTTATTTAAAAGTTCATTTATGAAAATCCTCCCCTCTGCCTCTGAATTACCAAGGTTAGAAGAAGACATAAGTTGATTTGAAACATAAGACTTTTGAAATGATATTTCAGTGGATAATTTTCCTTTTCATACAGTCATTTCCTGGGAGTTGGAAAAATGCCTCATCTGCATGTGCTCGAATTCAACCATATTTTTACAAGAGTGCACATTCCTGTAGCAGCTTAGCTCATATGACCTGAATAAAACAATAGCTGATACTCCTAGTTTCCATCAGGGCTGGCTCCGTGCAGTGGGAAGGGTAAAAACCACTCTCACCGGAGTTAAACTAAAGCAGCTCACCTGAGGCTGAAATAACTCCAGCTTTTCAAAATTGTGAAATATGTTCAAAACCAGGTCTGGGAACTGCTATAGATTCCTTTCTGCTCCCTCGGGGAGAAACAAGACCTCACTCTGGGTGTGGGGCCGGGGGAACCTCTTTCTTATGCTTCAATACTCGCAGACCTGGAATAAGTCAGGAAGGAGAATGACCCATCTTAAGGTCCAAAGTTCTGCTTGGAGGATGCAAGAACCTGCCTCAAAACAGCCCTCAGCCCCTCACCCAGGCTGGCCAGGCACCCCAGCAGGACCCCCACCCTGATCTAGGACACCCTTCAGGGCAAACCACCTGGCCCCCACCCATGCACCAGGCCTCTATCCTATATAATAAAAGGGTAATATGCAAACTGACCCTAACAGCAAAATGACTGGGAATGACTGGTCACTATGACACACACTGACCACCAGGGGGCAGACGCTCAATGCAGGAGCTGCCCTCTGGTGGTCAGTGTGCTCTCACATGGGGAGCTCTGCTCAGCCACAAGCCAGGCTGATGGCTGCCAGTACAGCAGTGGTGGTGGGAGCCTCTCCTGACTCCTCAGCAGCGCTAAGGATGTCTGACTGCAGTTTAGGCCTGCTTCCCGCTGGCAAGTGGACATCCCCCTAAGGCTTCCAGGCTGCCAGAGGGATGTCTGATTGCCATCTTAGGCCCAATCCCCCGGGGAGCGGGCCTAAGCCAGCAGGTGGACATCCCCTAAGGGGTCCCAGACTGTGAGAGGGCACAGGCCGGGCTGAGGGACCCCCCTGAGTGCACAAATTCTTGTGCACCAGGCCTCTAGTACAAAAATAAACTCACTACTGTACACCTACTTTTGCCCACCCCAGCCCAGATCATATATAATAATGTGATATATTCAACCACAATTAAAAAAAAATTCTGCTATTTGTGACAACACAAGTGGATCCGAAGGATGTGCTAGTGAAGCAGGCAGACGCAGGAAGACAGATGCCACATGGTCTCACTTTCATATGAAATCTACAAAGTTGGGCTCAGAAGCAGAGTGGAAGAGGGGTCACCAGGGTGATGGGCGGGAAGTGGGGGAGGTGTTGGTCAAAGAGTACATGTTTCCAGTTAGAGGTAAGTTCTGGGCTCTAACATGCAGCCTGATTGATAGTCGTTCATACCGTTAATAAAACTGTATTACTGCCTTGACATTTGCTGAGAGTAGCAATGTTCTCACCACACAGAAGGCAGCCAAGTGGGCGACAGACGTCTCAACTGTGGGAGTCATTTCAGTGTATAAGTACAGTAAGCATATGTTCTACATCTTAAAAGCCATGTCGCACAACATTAAATGTATATTATTTTATTTGTCAATCATACCCCAATAAAGCTGGGGAAAGTTACTTTAACTAGGCAGTATCGCCCTGCCCCGCTTCTGTGAACACACCTTTCTCTGCCACAGCAGGAACGGCCCTCCACGCCCCGGATGTCCGTGACCAGACTGGCCCCAGCTGATGCCTGGCCGCCCCACCTCCAGGCCGGTACCTTTATCCGTGTCTGTGAAGTCCTGTTGCATGTGAGGTAACTGAGCCACAGCTTCCAGGAGTAGGATGTGTGCACTGAAGGGACCATTGTTCTGCTGACTAGAACTGTGAGCAATTCAAAGATTTTTAACAAAAAGGAGTATATACATACCACGCAGCACCCCCTGGGCATGCATCTCCCCACACCCAGGTCATGCAGCTCTTGGACCCCAGACCCAGTGCCTGGGCACAGAAGCCTTGGTGCAAGTCACAGCCTAATTGTGAAGCCAGTGCTTGCTTTTTATTAACTCACTGGTGGCTATAACCTACTTTTAAATAGATGAGTCTGCTCAGTATCATTAAACAAGCACCTACTACGTGCCTGCCAGTGCCCTCGTTCTGGGCATGAAAACAGGACACGGACTCACGCAGCTGGAGAGGCAGCCATGGGCTCCTGCACTCCGGGCAGCAGTGCTGGGAGCGGCTTCCCACAGAGACAGTCAACCTGCACCACAAGAGGGAGGCACTGGTTTCCAGGGTGAGGAAACAAAAGCAGGGCCCCTGGGAGAAGGAAGCGAGTGGGAGAAGAGAGAGGAGGAGCAGGGCTGTGCAGAGAAGGCTGGGGAGTCTGGACACAGCACAGGGGCCTGGGTCCCCGCAGGCAGCACCTCTGAGGGTTTGCCTCTCTGCTGGGGCCAGGCGCACCACCAGCCCGAGTCTTAGAGAGATGGCACGTTCAGCGGGGAGGCAGCGACTGAAGGCAAGAGAGTGGGCTGGAGGCCCAGTCCCTGCTCCAAGGAGACCTCGTGGTGCACAGGGCTCTGGGACCTGCGAGAAAGACAGACAGGACTCCCCAGTTAAAATGCAGGCATCTCCTCGAGCACTCACTCAACACTGACATTCTTTCCGAGTCTGCTCAGTCCTCAGCGCTGGCCCCTGGGTGACACCCGAGACCCAATGTCTCTGCTTTAGGAGAAGGAAGATTAGCACCAGCTGGGGCGTGTGACATTCCCCAGCCATGTGCCACCTCCCTGCCCGGCTGCTGTCACCAGAGGGACGGGATGGGACAGCTGCTCCCTGCTCTGCTGAGCCTGCAGACAGAAAGGCCAGAGGGAGGGAAATGAACCCGCACTCTGGGTGGAAATCAGCCCTCGCCCTCCCCGTTATCAAGCGCATTGGAAATTACTGCAAATGTAGGATCCCCAGGTCCGGAGTCACATCCGAACCCTGGCCCTCAGTCTCCATGGCATCGTCCAATCCATAGGAAGCAAAACACACGCTCAGACTTTGTAAGACAAGTGCACCAGACGCTCACCTCAACCCTGAAAGGCAGCGCGGCCGCGTGGCCGTTGGTGTGGAAGCGGGAACCTGGGCGTGTTTTCTTGCCTTTGAGGTGACGTTTTAAATCCGCTCTCTGCGGGGAGGGGAGACAGAAGCAGGTAAAGGGGATAAACGGTGATGGGAGGAGACGTGGCTTGTGGTGAACAGTGTATAGGTGTGTGCTGTAGAACTGTGCCCCTGAGCCCTACCATCTATTAACCGATGGCACCCCAGTAAATCCAGTGAAAACTGACAAATCTGCCATCTGTGTGAGTTGGAGACCTGAACACCTCCTGGTGCCCTGGCCTCGCTCAGCATCCCGTCCGTGAAATGGGAACGGCACGGTGCCCTGCCCCGAGCCTGCAAGGAGTTGATTTGTGCCCAGAACAGCGCTCAGCAGGTCTCACCTGGTCATAGTAACGTCAGGTGTGATAGAAAGAGAGAAAAATCCCTTCTTTCTGCTCAGGGCGGCAGCCTGCCGGGCTCCACAGTCTGGAGTGAGGCTCCCGGGACTCAGCGGTGGGTGCCGCCCCAGCCCACCCGCTGTGGTGCCTGAGAAAATAGCATTTCCCTCCGCAGACCCACCGCGATGAGCACTCAGGGCAGGGACAAAGCTCCATCCACGCAGCCCGAGCCCAGGCCCTTAGACCCATGGTTTCCAGTGTCGCCTTACAGGGGGAAGGGGGGGAATTTGAGAATGAGTTATTAACAGTGAATTTTTTGCATTTCTTATGGTTCTAGGGGCCTCGTGTACAGTATATAAATATATACTGTGACATTTATGCATTTCAGTTCTCAATTATGTTTTGAAACTTTCTTTGCTATTTTTTCACATCAGTTTATATTATTATTATTATTATTTTAACAATATCTTAGTGATGTCTTTCTCAGTACTTCAACTGTCCTTTCCTTCTTTTATTTTTCTCTTTCATGGATGCCATGTTCTTTGGAAGCTCGTTTAGACCAAGTTAATGCCCTTTTAGGCTTCCTCCACGTGAATAGGAGTTCGCTTTTTGAATAATAAGAATTATATGTCATGGGGGGGGGGCCCTCAGGATTTTAGAGTTGCGTAGGTGGGGCATGGCCAGAAAAAGGCTGGGAACCACTGCTCTAGACAGACGTTCCACACACGGATCAGGGGCGGGACTCACAATAGGGCTCAGTGTGTGAGTGCATGGACTGGGCATTGTGTGGGACCATCACATTTAGATATTGTTACCTGTCACGTGAACATGGTCACACGCCTCATAAGGACCTTTGGTCAAGTTGGACCACATGGAACTCCACCCCATAAGATCACCATGGAGCAGGGAAATCCTACAGATGTGCTGACATCACAGCCGTGTGACGTCACAGCCATCCAAGGTCGTAGAGTCGTTACCCACGTGTCTGTCCCAGGCGCAGTGCCCACACCGGGAGCCAGGTGTGCTGCCCGCAGGACGTCTAGGTGAGTGCCAGGGCCTCTGATGTTGGCGCAGTGACAAAATCACCGCACAACGCGTTTCTCTGGCCGCATCCCTGCCTTCAGCCGCGTGTGCTGGCGTAGGGTAGCAGGACGCTCACCTGTACTGTGTTTGCTGCTGTCCCCACCGCATCCCCACCCGAGCCTCTAATTGAGCCTCTAAGTTCAGGGTCGGTCGCAGCAGAAGCAGCTGCTGACACAGCTCAGCATCATTGTGGTATCAGCCTCAGTCGGTTACTTGGCAAACTGCACTGGCCTCCTCGATGGGCAGGTTGGGGGAAAAGGCCGTAATGTTCCCGTCCGACACGCTTCTAATGCGTGATTAGAGGCAGGCCTCCACGCTGTGTCCCAGAAAGCAATCTCCCCTCCTCTTTGGTTCTTTAGGGCGTTTTCACGCTTCCTTTGAGCAGCAACACCAGCAGGGACACCTGGCGCCGCATCTAAAAGGTGCTGGGACTATGCGATGGTTAGTGTGTCTCCCTCGGGGACAATGGCCTCATTCGTGGGAAACATTTATGGGGGTGCCAGACCCTGGGACACCTCCTGTGAGCGCCTGGGGTCTAAGAGGCACACCCCTTTGCTATGTTGATGCCGTTCTCCGTTTGCTGTGGGTTAGGAACGCGAGGCCTGGAGCAGTGCAGACACTCCCCCTGCTCACAGCCACCCCTTCCTCTCCGCCCTCCCGATGACATTCTGCACTTACGCCTCGGCCCCTGCCCTTAACATCAGACCCAAAACTCGGCAGGAGGAAGAGCTCAGCGTTGGCCTTGTGGAGTCTCTGGGACAGAGACGGGGCCCAGAGGAGCAAAGACACCCAGAGGAGGTGGCAGGATGCTCCCAGCGGGAACAGTGGCCTGCCGGCACCGGGGGAGGGGAGAAAGAATTACAGGCACCAGCTGGGAGCTGACTTGACTTCACCTTGAGCTGCAAACGGACACCACCACCACGTAGCAGTGAAGGAGCGGGACCCCTGGGCTGGAACCCAGCAGCAGCAGATGGGGTCACGTGGAAAGGCCCCCTGTCCAGTCTCCTGCCAGCCGCCCGCTCCCCTCCCTCAGAGCAAACCAGCTTTTCTTTTCCAACAGCACCTCCTGGTGGTGAACAAAGGAATAACCCTAAACCTGCCCTTTACACCCTCTGGGGGGATTCTGCTCATTTTTCCTCTTGGAGTTTCTTTAATTCCTGTTAAAATACACTGTTCCTTGTGCTGCATAGTCCCCCTTCCAAATACCGACCATTTACCGTGAGGGATCCCCCCGTCCTGAGCTTCCCCCGGAGTGTTAGGGTCCAGGACAGAGCTGCCACCTGAGTCCGGAAACAGGTCCATGGAGTTGTGAGCGAGGTTCCTTGAGTGAGAGACAGTGAGTTATGCCTTTGAACATTCATGGAAACTTCCAGAAGTCTTTCACGCTACTAAAGCGCTGCTGAAAATAATTTGTGAACATATCTGTGTCTGCGCTGTTGCACTAACTCACATCTTTTTTATATATATATCTTTTTATTGATTTCAGAGAGGAAGGGAGAGGGAGAGGGAAAGATAGAATCATCAATGATGAGAGAGAATCACCGATCGGTTGTCTCCAGCACATCCTACACTGGGACTGAGCCCGAAACCTGGGCATGTGCCCTGACCGGGAATCGAACCATGACCTCCCGGTTCATAGGTGGATGCTCAACCATTGACCCACACCAGCGGGGTACTAACTCACATCTTAAAGATGCAATATCTCTCCAAAGTGCTTTAGGGAATGTGGCACATCCATAGCGACTTAAAACTCTACTAAAGGCCCGGTCATGAATTCGCACACCGGTGGGGTCCCTCAGGGTGGCCTGCAGAGATCGAGCCCCAGCCTTGCAACCCCGCAGCTCAGCCTGGCACCCCGCCTTGGCCTGGCGCCACCCGCTCACCTGCTCCACCATCCCACCACGGTCCCACTCTCATCAGGGCTCATCAAATCCAGCAGCGCCTCCACTGTTGCCAGTTGCCAGCTCTGCGTCGCCGACGCCCACCATGTTCTGCCCCGCCCCCCGGTGGTCAATGCACGTGATAGTGAGCAGTCGAACTCCTGGTCTCCTGGTCGAACTTCCAGAGGACCGCCTGAGGGGACAATTTGCATGTTAGGCTTTTATTATATAAGATACCCAGCCTTCTCCAGAAGCACAGACCCAAACCAGGAAATTAAAGGTTTTACTGTGAGTCTCTGTGATCTCATTTTTTGTTGAGATGTCGTTGCCGTGTAACATGGTGTGGGTCTCAGATGTGCAATGTGTTGACCTGGTAGTTTTACATACGGCATGTGATTCCTACCACAGGTTAGCCACCAGCTCTCCCATGTCATGTTACTGCCATTTCCTTCCTGTGGTGAGAGCAGTCATGCTCTATCTCTCAGCAGCTCTGAGGGATACAACACAGCATTGCCACTGATCATATTGTATCAAATGTGCATGAAAAAGCATTCCTTTGCTCATTAAATACTCACTGACATCTATCATAGCCAAGCCTTGCTTAGATGCTGGGAACATTGGCTCACAAAGTAAAACCCCTGTTCTTAAGAAGTCACATTCTGGTGGGAGAGATAGATGACATAAGAAACTGAAAAGTTACTGTGGAGTCTTTAAGTGCTGTGGAGGGACATAAGCAAGGTCAGGAGCCACAGAATAACACGTGACTCGAGAGCAGTTAGGGAAGGCCTCTTTGAGGAGGCGACATTGGGAGGAATGGGGACAGGCCATCTGAGGACATGCGGGTTTCTTGTGAGTGACAGGAGGCTGCTGAGGGGAGCTGTGCGGGGAGAGTGGAGAGCCAGGGCGGCGGGAGCCAGCAGGCATCCCCAGGCCGGGCTCACGGACGATGTGGATCAGAGACCGGCTGCGCGTGGCTTTGAGTCTGGAGCGCCTGCTGTGCGGTTTGCTGAAATGACCCTCCCAGGAGAGGGCAGTGGCAGGGACGCCGTGTGCAATGTGGGCGGTGTGGTCAGGTGTCGCACACGTCCCAGGCTGTCCCGGAGGCAGCTGGGCAGTTACAGGTCAGCGTGAGGGGACGGGCTGAGATGTGAATGTGGCCTCCTCTATGGAGTGAAGGTTACTTAGTTGTGGGGCGAGAAAGAATCGCCCGGAGATGGAGGAAGTGAGAGAGAACAGACTAGAAGGAAGCTAGAGAGGAGGAGGCGCAGTCTCGGGGACGGGGAGAGGCGCAGGCACACCCACCACCCTGGGCCAGGGCTGAGGGGAGCACCACGTTTAGTGTTCACACTGAGCTCACCTGTATGAGATTAGCCCGAAGACCAGCACGTGCCTAAGGTTTTCCAAGTCACTTGAAAGATACTATCTGACCTGGAGGTAAACTGACGTATCTACCATGAACATTAATCAGTTATAGGGATAATCCAAGCATTAATCTGTTATTGAGCATTAGTAAGTAAGAGATATATGTCAGTCCTCTTATTAAAAAGTTCAAGTGGAATGTGTCCTCATAACCTTTCCATCTTACTGATTGTTAACAGGATGCATTTCATTCCCTGTGACAAGGAGACGTCGCTTGTCATAAGAAGTGCATCCTTGGAATTAAGAAAACAGACCCTCTGCTTCCTCTTTTCCTTTTATTGGCAGGAAGCCAGGTTCAGTTCTGCTTTTTCTTAACAGTCCGTGAAGGAGAACCACTGGGGCTCGAACTTCAGACTCTGGTGGTGAGAGGTTCAACCCAGCTCGCCTGTGCTCCTGGGAAGCCGCAAGCTGCAGCGCTCTCCTGGGCCGAGGGAGCACTTCAGGCACGTGGTCCAGCTCCGGTTCTAAAGGAAAAACTCAGAAAGTGCAGCAACTAAACGCAAACAAAGGAGCAGCAGCCTTGGGCTGGCGACTGTTTCCTTGCCTGGCCTCAGGCTGTCCCAGCAGCATGTCCTGGGAGAGAAGGGCTCAGGGATGGAGGGACCATGAAGAGAAGGGCTCAGGGAGGGAGGGAGGGACCATGGAGAGAAGGGCTCAGGGAGGGAGGGACCCATGGAGGAAAGGGCTCAGGGAGGGAGGGACCCATGGAGGGAAGGGCTCAGGGAGGGGGGGACCCATGGAGGGAAAGGCTCAGGGAGGGGGGGGACCCATGGAGGGAAGGGCTCAGGGGGCGAGCCACATCCGGACCTTAGGACGAGGCCTGCAGGAGTTTCGTGGATCCCAATGATTCTTATGTGTCACAACCCTGAGAATCTCTTCTGGAGTCTTCAGACCTGCAGGATGTCGACGTGGTTATGGGACGCTGGGCAGCCTCATATCATGGGTCCGTGCCTCTCTCCCCTCTGCACCCCGATTTCATCTCACTGCTTCTCATCTGCATCAGAAGCTGCTTTCCCGGAAGAGCTTTCCCACAGAAGTAAGACGGGACAGAAGAAGCAGGCGGCACTGAGTTCCTCTAGGCCGCTCTAGCGTTTCCTTTGCTCTCTATTTCACCCACTCCATAAGCAGAGGCAACAATGCCTCGTGTACTTGGGGACTCCACTGGGACTTTCCAAAAACACCGGGACTAAGAGAGGAGTTGAAAAGTCTGTACATCTGGGGGCAGGCTGGAGGGGGTCAATGGGGGAAATAGGGGGAAAATGTTTAAAAAGAAAAGGGAACAGTGTGTGCATCAGCCAAAGCGCTCTGAGAGCTGGGCTTTCTCACCTGCGCCTTGGAGCAAGAGCAGACACCCAAGCTCTCGCACAGGGCAGGCCCCGGGCCTGGAGATTGGAAACTGCTATTTGCGGGACCAGGAAAAGCTGATCCGTCACCGAATAGAAGCTGAAACCACAGAGGCAAAGAGTATCAGCGTTTTTCCCACATGATGCAGCACTGAGGAAACATCCAGCAGACCCGGCATTTTAGTCCTCTTGGAACTATTTTGTAGATCAGGGGTCCTCAAACTACGGCCTGCGGGCCACATGCAAATACAAATATTGTATTTGTTCCCGTTTTGTTTTTTTACTTCAAAATAAGATATGTGCAGTGTGCATAGAAATTTGTTCATAGTTTTTTTTAAACTATAGTCTGCCCTCCAACGGTCTGAGGGACAGTGAACTGGCCCCCTGTTTATAAAGTTTGAGGACCCCTGTTGTAGATTATGCTGGGAGGTACAGACAACACAGATCTACTTTCCTGAACTCACTTTGAAAATCCCCGTTTGGTGAGCTGGAGGTTTCTGACGATCCCAGGTCTGATCATATAAAGCGCTGACTTCTCTCTGTGGCCTTAGCTCTGAGTCCCACACTCACCACGCCGTCCGCTTCTGGCTGGGTTTCCTGTCCGTGCGGCCTTCCCACGGAAGGCAATACATGCCCCTCGGATGACCGTGCTGATGGGAGTGGTAGGACCTGCGCCAGCACGGACAGGAACACACAGGCCTGCTCCCTAGCAGGCGCGCAGGTGTGCGGGGCTGCCCCTGGAGGAACTCGCGGTGCTGACCGATCAGGTCTGACCTTGCTGCCTAAGGATTTCACTCTACACCTGCAGGGCTTCACCAGGTGCAGGGGTTCATGAGACTCCTCGGGGGGCAGCCCCTGGCCTGCCCCGGCCGCACTGCTGTGCCCTCGCAAGAAGCGGAATCGTCACTGATCTGCTCTTTCCTGAGAGGATGGCAGAAGGTAGGGCCCCGAAGAGGAAGCGCTCTGAGGGCAGAGGAGGGGGGTGAGGGGTGGGGGTGGGGGGACAATAAAATAAGAGGTGAGGCTGGGAAAGGATGTGGCAAAGAAACGTGGAGTCCGCAGGCAGGCCATTCAGAAGTGCAGGACCAGAACCAGAAAGAGGGCCAGGAAGGAGTTTTCCAAAATGAGTCCTCGGAACAAAGGGCGGCCACTTTGCAGAAGCAAACGACAGGCGGCCATTCTGCAGGCAGAGCCCAGGGACACTCGGCCGGAGCTCGAGTGGCTGCAGTGAGCGGCTGGGACTGGGATCCAAGGACTCCCCCAAACGGGGAGAAACTGGTACCGTTCCTGGCACCTCGACAGGAACGGATGCCACAGCCTGGCCTTGGCGCTGATGTGGGGACATCAGGTGGCAGGACAGCCGTGAGTCCCTCCAGGAAGGAGTGAGGGAGCGGCCGGAGTCTCTGACACAGTCAGTCCGGCGCCCAGGCCTGAGGCAACCCACTGGAGTCCCATGTCCCCGCCAGCTGCTGCGGGCAGGAGGGGAGGGACTGCTCGCTGGCCAGCGCGGAGGCCTCCTGCTGGCCAAAGTGCAGCCGGTGCGGTGAGGACAGGCAGCAATGATGGCGGCAGACCAGAGCCCTGGGTGAAGGGACCCGCCCAGGGCACTCTGGGAATCACTGGATAAATGAGAGGTTCACTAGGCCAGTGGTCAGCAAACCTCGGCTCACGAGCCACGCCAAAGAGCCGCATGTGGCTCGCGAGCCACCGTCTGCTGACCACTGGTCTAGGCTATTCCCCTGTCTGAGCGCACACCCCGCACACGCGCTCCGACGGAGGGTACAGCGGTCCCTGCACGGCTGCCACCTTGTGGCAGCTGTGGCAGTGAATGCATCCAGCAGAGGGCAGTGAACAACATGGGCCAGAGGCACGGACACCTGGACAGACAGGCAGATCTCAGAGGGGCAGGGTGAGGAGGTGGGAAGAGATCAACCAGAGAACTGTGTGCATGTAGGCACAGCCCCTGGACACAGAAAATAGTGTGGTGAGGAATTGGGGGGGGGCGGGAGGGAACAGGGGTGCAGGAGAGAAAGAGTTACATTGGGGAACACCTATAATAGGATCAATAATGAAAAAGACAAGTGGAAATTGGTTTCTTGGTCGCATGCAGTGCTGAGGGCCGAGCATGCGGCATCGCGTTGGGGCTATTCCTGCCAACCAACACGCAGGCCCCCGCCAACAAGACATCTCAGAATAACTCCTACAACGGAACCCACGCCCAGCGGGAGGGAGGGGTGCTAACAAAGCATCAGAATCAAGGGAACTCAGTTTAAGTTCTCTCAATGTCAGCGTGAGGTCCATCCCTTCTCTAATGCAGGGTCAGTCCTTGTACCAGGAAGAGCCCCAACCTCACCCCCCTTCACCAAAACACATAGAACTCACCAGAGCAATGGGTTGAAGTACATATCGATTCTGCAAGGCCACATTGCAGAATTACTTACACACTGAGGGACATGGCCAGGGACGATGGGCTTTGCCCGGAAATGGGCGGGTTGGTGGATGGCTTGCACCTTTATTTGAGGCTCAGGAACTTGCCCCTCAGGGACAGAACGGGCAGCAGGACTGCCCTGCTCTTAGGGGAAACCCAGGGCCGAAGGGGCCCGGCCTCCCCACACCCTCAGCTGCCTGCCTGGCTGGGCGCTGGGCTCTAGGCCTCAAAGGGCCTCGATGCAGGAGCTGGCCAGCACTGCGTCTGCTGAATGTTACCCAGTTTATCAGTAACACCCATGGGTGGACATGCAGCACTAGCACTGAAGTTTAAATAGCGTTTATATCTCAATGAGTTTCTCACCCAAACTGGCAGTTCACATCCCTCCCCGACCCCCACCAACTCCCCTATCGCTCATTTTTTCAAAGGCATCATGAATCGGCGACACAGTCAAAACCAAAATTCACTTTAACATTGGAAATATGACCAACTTTTTAATGAAGTAGAATGTTGAGCAGAATCCCTGGTTTCCCCACAGAAAGAGGTACCCTGTGCCAGGAGCTGCAGTCTGCAGGCAGAAAGAGGTGCCCCATTCTGTCATTCTGGAAATGAACTCAAGATTTTTACCAAACATCAGGAGAGCGTGACTGGCTCGGTCTCTATGATGGACAATGTTTAGCACGAGCTGAGGCTCGCGATGCTGCCCAGTTCCCTGCAGGCGGCAGTGGACGCATCTCATGGTTCTGCACACGTGGCAGTTTCCTGCTCCAAGGCCGGGAGCGGGAATCCCAGGCCAGGAGTGAGGTCCGTGGTCACAGGGATCGGATTTTCTGCTGCGGCTGACAGCACAGGGCACCCCCGGCCGGAACTCAGGGAAACCGCCATCGGGAAGGATTCTGTGTCCTGTTTGGTCCTGTTTTCTCTCTGCAGACATGTGTGGGCTGGTCCCTGGCCACGGCTGTCAGAGGAAGGAGGC